TGGACAAACCTAGGGTTTGGGTTGTAAAATCAAAAGAGGGGTTTCTAAGTGTATGTTGTTGGAATGGTTATGAGGTTAAATATAAGGTAGTATGGTTACACTATAGTTGATTTTGGCCTTGGGTTGATATTTGAAAAATGGGTGTTTGTCCTAAAATGATTATAATATTTATTTTGCATAAATAAATAAAATTGGTGTTATAAACATGAAATTGGGCAAATATTGAAATAGACGGTGTAGTTAAGTATGTAATACCTCTCATCTTTGGAAATTTTGAATAAACTATCTCTCTTGGGATTGAATATCTGTGTTGGGCTATCGGTGGAGGATAGTTATGATTGTTATAGAAATTACATGAGGATCAGGTGAATTAAAGCTATACTATTGTTGGTTGTCAACGAATATGATTATGTTTTAGATACATTGTATATGTATGATGTTTGGGAGGAGAAAGAGGATGTACTCCATGTTTGAGAGGAGATAGGAGATGGACTCCATTGAAATTAAGTTGGCCGGAGTGTCCTCGGTGAAAGTCCCGAAACAACGTGTATACATGGGTGCCGATTCCATGGTCGAAATTTTCGTAAAATGACAAATTGAAGTATTTTTGTGATAATTGTATTGATTAGATAAGGAGTTTGGCTCATGGATTGAAATGAATTGAAGGAAAATAGAATAAGATATGAACATGGTATTTTATGATTACTAAAATGTGAATGTTTTGTCGCAAGCATTGTATATGCACATTATACTTATATATTTGTTAAACCTCATATATTGTGTTAGATTATTCCAATTGGGCTTTAGCTCACCCTATTTGGGAAAACCATTTTCAGGTGCTGGTGACATACCTCCACCAAGGGAATAACATGGTGGGACTTTTGGGAAGTAAGAAGCAGGAGCTTCTATATTTTGTTTTTATTCTTTTATATAGCCAAGGGTTTTTACTGTATTGAGTTAGACTCACTTTTGTGTAAATAAGCAATGACTTGGAAAGATGTAAATCTAAAGGGCATCTGACTATATGTTTACTTTCATTTCTCTCAATATTGTAACACATGCTATAGATTCAAGATGAACATTGGTGAATGTATATCGCATGTGTTAACCTTTGTAAATGAACTCTGAACTCTGATGAATGAAGGTATCTTATTTCTGTTATTTCTCCGCTCATGAGTTGTATTTATTGCATAATTTTGGGGGCATTACAAAAATAGTAATAAAAAGTCAGAGATGTCACCTGGTATTTTTGGGTGTTTGGGGTATTTTGGGTGAATGTTTTTTTATTGTTCTTTTATTTGACTCAACTATAACATATAAAAACAATATATCAAGTTTTGAGAATATTTTTTTTCCTTTAAAAATCTATATTGACATCTATATATTCTCTATATAATTTGATTTGACTTCCATTGATTAATGGATATGACTAGCATTTACATGCGTTGCTTTGGAACTTTCCCTTGTTTATTTTCGGGATCTTACAAATTTTTTTTTTGGTTCTCCATCATATATTCGTTTAATAGTGTACTTAACAATAACCATTTTTTTGGTACAATCCCTAAAGAGATTAAAGGACTTACAAAGTTGAAGGCATTGGACTTGAGAAATAACAAGTTGGCCGGGACTATTCCACCAGAAATTGGAGGACTACAATCATTGAAACGCGTGTGAGTTCATCGTTTATGGATATTTTGGATCTTTATTTTGTAGGAGACTTTTTTATTCATAAAATTCCGACTTCCCATAGTAGTGGATCTCTATAATTTCCAAAGCTAGAGGCTCAATTGCTAATTTATTAGTTTAAGAAGCAATGATATTAATGCATTACACAGAGTACAATTTGGACACACTGACACAAGAATAAACATTGTAGTTTCAACGCGCGTGTGGGGGTCCAACTAGTGTTTAATAAAAACATTCAATTAGGCTTTTTACAAGCTTTGAAGTGAAAAACCTATGAAAATTTATGCAAGCATGACAAACTTGTTATTCAAATTGTTTTATTAATGCAATTTTTATGTGATAGGAATTGACGTATAAAATTTCATATTTCTGACATCTTTCTCGGTTGAAACTTCCAAGCATCTCATCAGTGTGGCAATAATTATACTTGGTGCACTGGTAGTAGGAGCTCGGGACATGTCATTTGACTCCTACAACTATGCTATTGTTTACATGTCATTTGACTCTTACAACTATGCTATTGTTTTCATATCGAATATCTGCACAACAATATATCTTGCTTCTATAGCTCGTACTGGTACATTTATTTTTTTAAAAATTGCTTTTCCATTTCTCATTGATATGTGAGGCATTGCATATCTTGTGCTGATATATTTTCTCAATCTTCTCAGGAAAGTTGTGCCTTGTTCAAATACTGAAGCAAAACGAGAGGTGGAGATGGAAAGACTTTAGATCCGAGGTGGAGATTACTTTTGGCATGAAACATGTTACCATTGGCGTGGTATAAATTACTAGTGGATATTCCTTTTTTGTGTATGGAGGACATCGTTTTTGTATGATTATCTGTTTGTATAGAATTATTATTTTAGGTTGGATTATATTTGGTTTGTATCGAATTTGATGTTAAAAGACCAAATTTTTGGATGGTTAAAAGTGAAATAGAAATAGGTATATGTATTGTTTTGTTTATATACAGGGTGCCAGTTGCACGAAATAAATACAGGTTGTGAAGAAATTAATAATAATAATAAATAAAAAACTAAATAAAGTTTTTGATGACTAAATGTTTAGTACCAAAAAAAAAGTGAACTTATTGGTGGCTAAATAGTTAGTAGCAAAAAATAAAATAAAATGAAAAATAAATTTTTTGGCGACTAAATTCTTTGGTCCCTAAATGTAGTAACATTATGACTCAAACTTATCCACGACTAAAGTTTTAGTCACCAAAATTCAAAATTAATTTTATTTGAAAACTTTTGGCGACTAAAAAACATTTAGTCACCAATACCTTTCCCGACAATTAGTCAACGACCAATTTGGCGACTAAAAATTTAGTCATCAAAAGTGCCATTTCTTGTAGTGCAAGGGTTAAGGTATGTTATGATTCATTACTAAATCTTTGAATTTCTATCTTTTTCTCCTGTGAGGACCAATTTAAGCGTTAGAGTGCCCTCAGCCAACCACTAACCGGGACACTAATAGTGTTTTCCCTTGTAAATTTTGTCCTTACAAATCTAATAAATACATTCGTAGACTCACTTACACAACAATTTCTTCCTAATATATATATATATATATATTCAATATTCATCTTTATACAACCAGGGCATTTGACTTTGTTTGTGGTGTGAGATTTTGAGTTCAAGTTTTATAAAGATGAGTTTGATACAGTTTGTGGTGGCGGTTTATTTTTCCCCATTATAGGGGTTCTTGTAGTTAGTTGTGATTGGTGGGCTTGGCTTGGTATATTGGTAGGCTTGCTAAGCCGAACAAAGCTTAACATACCATCCCTAGAGGGTATTACACAACCATCAGGCTAAATATCTTGAAGGGACAACCTGAGGCAAGGGGTATCATTAATACCATTAATTTTGCACAAAAATGAAATCCTAAGAGAGAAATGTTGTACTATCTTTTTTTTAATATTTAAATTGGAAAAGAGTAAATACAATTATGAGATACATTGATAGAGAAATGTTGTACTAATGATATTTATTACCGTGGGAGCCGAATACACATATTATCTAATCGGCAAACAAAGTATATCTAAGCCAGTCACTGATGGGCCAAATTCAACCTGGGCCCATTGGGTTTAAGCAAATCAACGTCGAGTGAATCCAAGTAGGTTGAAACATGTGCCGACTATAGGATGATAGCCTATTAGCATTGGTGTCGAGTACTGAAATAAGATCAGCATGATAGTTCATTTTATGTGGGCTCAAGTTGTCCCTTTTCGAGGTGTAGTAGCGGGATGGACCTGACATGGCAATTATCATAAGCTACATGAGAAAATATCTAAAGAATGATCATTATAAAAGGAAGGTAATAGCAAGTAAAAAGGTATGCTTTAACTTTTGAAACTCTCTAAAATATAAAGACTATTTATTTTCATCCAAAGACTGATTTGTCTGTCGGAGTGCAAATTCCGACACCCTCGACCGGAGTATTTTTTTATTTCAGGTACTGGAGTTAGGATCTTTCAAGGATTTGTTTGGAATGAAGTAGTATTGTAAAACCACCCTCACAGTTAGTACTATAAGTAACAAACATAGAGAAAAGAAAATTATTGGAAATAATAGAGAATATGTATGCATGCATAGGTAGGGTTATTTTCAGAGGGTTTATGGTATATTATGGGGTTTTTTTAAACTTGTTATTCTTCATTAACCTCTGTTTTGATTTTAACTTTTTTGTTTTTTGTTTTAGTTTTTGTTTCAGTAGTAAATCAATCCATTTTGCATGGAGGTCTGCTTAACCTTCTTTTAATTTTTGGGTTAGTAACCACATATTTAATGGCTTGTACATACAATGGTATATATGTGGTCATTAACCCAAAATTAAATTTTAATTTTACAATAACCAAAATGCATATGGTTCATTGAATCATTATCTTCGTAAAAAACTGTTGAGTAAATTACATCAATTGTTCCCAGTAGTTTGTGCCAAGTTTCACTTTCAGTTTCAATTATATTAATTCAAACATCACACTTTCAATTGCGTTTCAATATGATTCATTTATTAGTTATCATTAGCATTTTGGATGGTGAAATATCGCAAATAACTCAAGTGAAGATTTTTCAATTTACAAGAAAAAAATAAAAATAAATTAAATTAGTTGCTCTTATAGTTTCTTTCAAATTTTATTTTTGGTCATTCTAATTTTGCAAGTATTGTTTTTCCATTAAAAAAATGTTAAATGACAATTGACGAAAGGATTGCATTGAAACAAAGTTAAAAATCTAAGGTTTAAATTGATGAAATTAAAACTACAATGATCGTAATAAAATTTCACTCAAACTAAATAGGTAAATAGTGCAATTCACCTAAAAATATATGTTCCACATCTTGAAAGTGGAATACCAAGAGACAATATTCTATTCAAGAATTGTATAATACAAGGCTAAGAACCATTACTGCATAAGAGAAGGTTAGGCAGACCTCCATGCAAAATTGATTGATTTACAACTGAGACAAAAAAAAAAAAAAAAAAAAAAAAAAAAAAAAAAAAAACAGAAAGAACAAGAAGGTGAAAATCAAAACAGAGGTTCTGCTTAGTGGAGAAAAACAAGTTAAAAAAAAAAAGAAAAAAAAAGGCCCATAATATACTATAAACCCTCTGAAAATAACCCTACATATGCATACATACATATATAGATTCTCTGTTATTTCCAATAGTTTTCTTTTCTCAATCTTTGGAGGGTAATTTGGGAACAAGAAATGTTATTGCAGTCCTTGATTCTACTCCACTGATCAGCAATGTCTCTAGCAATGTTGAAGGAGTCTGATGCAGTGCCAAGTAGTCCTCTTCTTGTGAACCCAACTGTGTACAATCCATTCTCTCCTTTCCAACTCCTTGGAAATGGTGTTTTGGGCATCCCTTCTTCTGTAAAGAAATCACTACCCTGCATTTTCATCATTCCATAAACAAATTATAAATTGAATCCACTAGTTAACCCAAAACACACACACACAAAATATATATAGTTCTTAATTCTATTTATCAAGGAGAAGAGCTCAATTTTTGTCATTAAGTACACGGTCTTATGAATAGACTCAAAGTATACTCAATTACTCACAAATCACGATTATTAGTTTAATAGACTCAAACTATACTCAATTACTCACAAATCACGATTATTAGTTATATCCAATGTTTTGCGCTCTGTGATAGTCGAAGATGAAACCTCCAAAAATTACCTTATAATGGAACACTCATGTTCAACTCACTTAAGTTATCAATTCGCTCACAACTATTGGATGTTTTGAGATTCTCACATGATCCAATAACTATGAGTGAATTAGGACAAGGTAATAGAGTTATTTAAAGACATTATCCAATAACTATGAGTGAATTAAGATAAGGTAATAAAATTATTTAAGGATGGAGGATCTTTAACTTATTATGTAAGTAATAACTTAATAAGCCCCAAAACTATAGAACAAGGGCATTTCAATTGTATTTTTGTCATAATTAACATTTACACACATACTTGAATCATGATTCATGAACCACATAAACAATTAGGGCTTAGTGAAGTGAAAATGAGTAAAATATATGAAAACAACACTTTCTATTCTTATTTTTTCTTTATCTTTTTTTTTTTCTTTTTGTTTTTGCGATCTGATAACAACCCATAAATTTAAGTGAAAGAATATTTGGATAAATAGTGAACACTTGAAAACATTTTTAAAATTTTGATTCTCTCTAGAAAAGAGCAAAATGAACACTTTTTAGGTGTCATTTCTTGACAACCAATCATCCTAAGAAAATAAGAATATATATCATGATAGTTACATATCATCACACTAAACCGAAAAATTTCAAGAAGTGAGAATAGTACAAACAAATGCCCTCACATTTTCCCTTTAGTATAAGAGAATATGTAATGTTTTGTAGGGCAGTGTATGTGTAAGAATGAAAGTGACTTAAGATTGACAATAAGATAAAACTAAAAAATAAATAAAGACATACCTTGAGCCAACAAGGCACATTGCTCTTGTACCCAGTTGCTAAGATTATAGAATCAAACTCTCTCTCTTGTCCATCCATGAACTTAGCTCCATTTCTTGTTATCTCTCTCACTCCACCTTCTATCACCTACAATCCATGAACAAAATTAGCTAAATTTTGCAGAATAGGCACAAAAAATGTGAGATCTTTTTAAGGGTATGTTTGGTTTACCTTGATTTTACCGGATTTTATTTGTGACAATGCTCCAACGTCGAGCACCGGGGTTTTTCCAGTGGCATTTTTTAGCTCAATGGGGCCGGTTTTGGGCCGCCGGAGGCCCAACTTGTCTGTGTTGCCTAAGGTGAAGCTGGCCACAAGTAGGAGGAACTTGTCTACTAGTCTTAGAGGTAGCCATTTAAGAAGTGCCATTGCTATTCCAAATGTTGAGAACCCAAACATCTCCCTAGGCAAAATATGAACCTAAAACGACAAAATTGACCAAACAATTAGGTATAATCACATGAAAATTGTACAGTGCACACACTTACACATAAAATGTATTATGGGAACCTTAAAAACATTAAATCAAATACAAAGATGATATGTACCCAGAATTTGTACGTAAAAAATTATCCTAAACCAGAATGGATGTGATCCATTGGTGTAATTTTCTGAGTACTTCTCTGAATAAATTTTTTTAGGTATGTCGCATTGTCTATTCAAATAACACCCTTATGAATAGAATTGTAAAAATGGGGATTCTAAACTTATCCACAAAGAATTCAAAGGATAAAATGCGCACAATCTTAACAGAAAGTCTTACTGTTGAGCCAAATAGCCCTTTTAGCAGGAGAAATTTTTTTTTAAAAAAAAAAAAGAAAAGCCTATGATTCCAGCATTGCTGAACATGATATCCAATCTTCCATGTTTCTCTAGTGTGAATTTCACTGTTTCTTCAATCAAATACAAAGATGATATGTACCCAGAATTTGTACAAAGATGATATGTACCCATAATTTGTACGTAAAAAATTATCCTAAACCAGAATGAATGTGATCCATTGGTGTAATTTTCTTAGTACTTCTCTGAATAAATTTTTTTAGGTATGTCGCATTGTCTATTCAAATAACACCCTTATGCAGAGAATTGTAAAAATGGGGATTCTAAACTTATCCACAAAGAATTCAAAGGATAAAATGCACACAATCTTAACAGAAAGTCTTACTGTTGAGCCAAATAGCGCTTTTACCAGGAGAAATTTTTTTTTTTAAAAAAAAGAAAATAAACTTTAAAGTGGTTTCAACTGCCCAAAATTGTTTTTAATGCATACCCAGAAAGAAGAATTGACCTTAAAAAAAATAAAAAATAAAAAGAGAGAAAACACACAAAACAAATGTACTTGAAATTGGAAACAGTAGAATGAACTTACAGTGCTTCTAACCACCACATGTGGGCTTGCTTTGTGCCTACACAGGTCCAAACTAACCTCCATACCAGAATTTCCACACCCAACAACCAATACCCTCTGGTTTGTAAATTCAGAACCAGACTTATACAAACTTGTATGCACCATAGTCCCTTCAAACCTCTCAATCCCCTGAATTTCAGGTACACTAGGCTCGGCATTTTCGCCCGTGGCGACGATCAACCACCTTGAAATATACTCACAATCTTGAGTTTGAACTCTCCAAACCCCATTTCCATGATCAAACTCAGCTCTCTCCACTTCTTGATTGAACATTGGAGCAATTGAAAAGTGTTCAGCATATGACTCTACGTACGATATGAACTGGCGTTTAGTTGGGTATTTGGGGAAATTTTCTGGGAAACCAAACAGGGGAAGCTCACAGAACTGTTTGGGGAGGTGAAGTTTGAGACGATCATAGGTTCTTTGTTGCCATAAAGAAGCTAAACAATCACATCTTTCGAGAATCAAAGAAGGTACATCATTGTTCTTGAGACAAGCCGAGACTGCTAGACCAGATGGTCCAGCGCCTACTATGATAGGTCCTTGAATCCAAACTTGTTTCTGTTGATTACCCACTTTTTCTTTGCAAGAATTCATGTGGAAGAACCACCCAAGAAAAAGGAAAGAAAAGGAAAGGAAAGAAAGTAATGTAAGAGAAAAGAAAAGCCTCCTCTGTTTTCTTTTAACTCCCCTGTGTTTTCTCTGTGTAAAGCTCTGTTTTTTCCCGTGTTTTCTCGAGAAAGTGTGTTGTTGTGGTGCATGGAGTGGAAATTGGAAGGGGTAAGTTGAGTGAGTGAGAGAGTTTTGTGGATTTAGAATCAATGAGCAGCCAATGAGAGGGTGTTGTGAGGGCTATAAATAAATGCATAGAATGCAGAGATATTGATTGAAAAGCAAAGAGTTTTTATGGAGAGAGAGAGAGAGCGAGAGAAAGAGAGAAATGTAATGGATGCGTGAAGGTTAAGGAAGGGATTGGTTTTCCTTGGATTTTGGGGTTGTGTTATGGCAATGGGGGAATGAGAAGATTTAAAGTTTCGTTTGGTAAAGAGGTTTGGGATTATTAGTAATGCTAGAGACCCTAAATATTCTACTAAAAGTTTTATCAAATGTCTCATATGGGTGTGAGACCCACACAATGTGGGTCCCATGTGGGTCTCACACCCATGTGAGACATTTGGTAAAACTTTTGGTAGAATTTTTGGGGCCTCTAGCATTTTTGTTGGGATTATTTTAGTCACAAAAGATAAAATAGGTTATTTTAGCCACAACAAATAAAATATCACATTCAACTTATAATCATTATATTCTTTTCTCAAAAAAAAATTAAAAAATTAAAAAAGTCAAAAAGTCCTTATCAAATCAAATTTTTTAGCCCAGGCTAAAATAGTCAAAAAAAATTAAAATGTCAAAAAATCAGTCCACTTTCTAAACGGAGGCAAAAGCCTCGTTTGGAAATAGGCTAATTTAGTAACTTTTTGATTATTTGGCTAAAATATGAGTTAAAAAAAACTAATATGTTTGAGATAACTTTTTAACTTTTTACGAAAAATTGTGTAAAAAGTAGAGAGGAAAGAGAATCTTTAACTTTTTGGTATGAGTTGTTGACTTTTTGACTAATTTAATAACTTTTTGACTTTTTAACTAAAAAGTTCGGTTGCCAAACGAGGCTTAAATGTGTTTGGCTAAGAGGAGAAAAAATTTATATGGAGAGGAATTCATATCTCTCACTCACACTTTTGTGGTATTGGTCAACACGAGCCAAATCACTACTACAAATTTTTTTTTTACTTTTTAAATTGTGAAGAAAATTTTCTTTGTAAAATCGATAAAATATCATATTAATATAATATAACAGTATCACAGTATTTCAAAAGGAGATGAAAATCTTCATAAAATGAATGATTCAAACCATATAGTATACTGTTTAGACATAAAATTCACACAACAGTAATAATAGTGCGATAATATCTTTTTTTGTAAATAAATTCATATTTAAAAATATTTTATTTTAAAGTGAGAAGTTAACATTAAAGCACGAAAATTCTATATACATTTTTTGTTTGACATTTCTTATTATATCATCTCTTATGATTCAATTGATAGGCAGTTCAAAAAAATATTAAATGATAAGTATAGGTCCTGTTACATAAAATTGATTATAGATCACACGCTTACACTTCATTTCAATTGCAAGAAAAAAAAAATTATATTACCTCACTATGATATTTGGATGAGTAAGATCGCAAAATTTATCATATGGGATTTGGATTGAATTTCATTTTATTTCTTTGCATTTTAATGGGTGTTATTGGTAATAAAAAATATACAACTAATCAATTTGATTCTCATCAAACTTCACTACTAATTAAAAGAAATTAAATTTATAAAAAAAAGGTGCTCTCACAATTTCTCACATATATTTACCAAACATAATAAAAAAAAGAGCAATGGTAGAGGGCCACAAAAAGTGTGGCTCAAATGGCTCAAAACTGTCAAAACGACGTCGTTTTGGGCGCAAAACGACGCAAAACGACGTCGTTTCGACAGTTTTGAGCCATTTGAGCCACACTTTTTGTGTCCCTCAAACATTTTTCTAAAAAAAATTCTCTCCCGCTTCATTTCTTATCATTTTGCACCAAATCACTCGATTTAAACAGGGTATAATAGTATGAGTAAAATTTTTGACAGTGTTTTTTTTTATATTTCCTAACTATTTTGCTCGTGATTCCATAATTTTGGCAATCAAACTCATGTCTTACCAAGTTACCAGTTTAGGCTATCAAGAATGAAAAACAAAAAAAACATCTTACTTCAATTACACAAATGACATATGTTCTAAGTTTCTCGTATAATATCCGATACAAATGTCGATTTATAAGTCCTGTCATTAAAGAGAGGAAGCAAAACACTCTTGGTTAAATTTTATCAATTACGATAGTTTTTTATTTTTATTTTTATTCAACAGAAATAAAAATCATATGGCAGTTCAAAGTAATATTACAACTACTAGAGGATTAGCCCCTCACAATAGCAACTCCAATCATTACATCTTCTGGTGACTCCTCCAAGATTACTACATGATCATGTTGAGCCACGCCCATGTTTGCCAACTTATCTGCAACTCTATTACCCTCCCTAAAAATGTGGCTGAGAGAGGAATTTTGTATCTTCAATAAGGGCCTTATGTAAGGAGTTGTGGCTTGAGCCATTTTGAATTAGGTTGATGGCTTATTTTGAATCTGTCTCAATCTTCAAATCTAATTTGCCTTTCTGAAATAGGATTGTAATGCCCCTCTAGATGCCCCATAATTCTGCCTCTAAACTGGAGCAGTGACCTAACCTGCCGTAGTAGCTTCATATTCAGGCACCAACTTCATCTTACAGCAATCCTTCATACTTACCCTGAATCGAGTCACCTTTAGAGCATCGTGGTGGACAATCTTTATTGTATTTAAAAATTAAATTCTATTGTGTACTTAACAATAAATAGAATATATAAGAAATAAAAGAAAATGAGAGAATTGTTTGATTACAAAAATCAAATCAGAAAAATAAAATAAAATAAATAAATAAAACAAATTTTTATTTTGTTACAAAAACAAAATCAAAAATCTGATTTAAATAAATAAATAAAACAGAAAATAAATAACCAATTTACTTGATTAATTTCTTGAATAATATTCTGATCAAGTCCAGTGTTAGACACTGTGTCCTTAAGACAGATTCGTCCTCTTCACGGTACTTTCAAAATGTGGACGTCTATCTCCTAAGATGAAATGATCAACAACGAATAAATACAGTACTATAATTTATTCGTACAACGAACACACTAAGTGTTTACACTCTTTCTCACAAAAATTAAATACAGCAACATGCAGAATATATTAACAGAAGGGAAGTATAGATTTTCTGAATGAAAATATCAAATGAGGGCTGCCTATTTATAGATGTAGTGGTGGCTATTGGTTTTGAATTAAACAGGTGCAAACCTGTTTTGAATAGGTATGAAACCTGTTCGGTTTTGAATGAATAGATTTAAATCTGTTGGGTTCAAAATTCAAATAGATAAAAATCGTAGGGACCTGTTGGGTGTAGAGAAAAATCGGAATAGATTAATTTCGGAATTAATTTCAATTCTGGACAGTTTGATAGATTTTATTTCAAAAAATAAAATTAAATCCAAATATTTTTGGCCCAAAAAAATTAGTATTGGGCTAAACAAGCCCAACCCAACCACACATTCGTGCCCAAGCCCAACCCAACCCGACCGCATGATGGCGGTGTAGCAATTTTTGGGTCCAATGGGTCTAACCCATTTGCCCATAACCTCTTTCTTTACAAAACTTAGGTACCCTTGGTGCACACCCTAAGTTCCAATCTCATGCCTTATAAACCCACTCAAAACTTCCCACCAAATTAATGTGGGGCAAGTTATTTCCCAAACCTTTAAGGATTTTTTACCAAAACTCCATTTCCATGGAGCACACTTTGGCTTTAATTTTCCATTCACCCGATAATAGTTTTGAGCAACCAAATATATCACGTGATTTAGAACGCAACATAGAACGCGTTACCACTTAGACCCGCCAATTTTGATGTACAGGTCCCACCTAAATAATAGACCAAAATTAAAAAAAAATTCTATTTTTATCCAGAATTTCCAAACAATTTCTAACACATCCATCTATATTGAGCTTGAGTTTATGCGCAAATTGAAGACACCATTTAATTAGTCTAGGTTGGGAACGACGACTGTGTTATAATTTGACATATAATTTACTAGAATTTAACGTTCACAACTATTATAACATGCTGAGCGGAATTGCTCTTAGGGTATAAAAACTTGGAATTTTGCTTAATATTGTAGAGAATGTATTAATCACGTGCTATTGAATCATTGTGGAAAATAATTTTTTTTGTAATTTTTTTGTTTATATTTGGGGATCCTACTGTGGACAACAGGGGTCTGTGGTACCTTGGTGGGGTTTTTTTTCAAACTTTTTTTTTATAATCCGAAACATTGATATTGTAAGGTTCGTCGAGTATATTATTTATATAAAAAATTAAGTTAAACAGAAATCAATTATCCCATGATTAGATTCAAATTGTTTTAAGAAAATTATTAAGATTATATTAACAGTTTATTTTTTAAGAAACAAATCTGTTCTTGTTTAGAGCTATAGATTTCTAATCAATTTAATGTTTTGTATGGATAATTTATTCAACGAACCCTATAATATAAACAATTCGAATTATTAACAAAGACTTAAAAAAATTTTACTGAGACACCACAAATCGCTATGTCTCGTTTGGGAACAAGTTACTTTTGTAATTTTTTTTTTAGGTAATAGAGTAATTTTTGAGATAAAAAGTACGAAAACTTATTTGGTTTATCTTTTTTCAGAAATGGTTTTGAAAAATTATTTTTGGAAGAGAGTTTTAACAAAAAAGTGATTGATTTGATGTGTATAAAAGAGAGAATGATTTTGGAAAGTACGTAACTAAACAAAATTTTGAGATTTTTTTTGAAAAAATTTGTTTGGTTTGATTACTTTTAAAAATTTGTTTGTAGAGAATTTTTCTCAAATTTTTTTTTGAAAAACAAACCAAACAAGGCCACTGTATGTTTAGAATGACTTTTTAAATTTTTATGAAAAGATGCGTAAAAAATAGGAAAAAAATAAAATTTTTAATTTTTTTTTTAACTAAACAAAATTTTGAGATTTTTTTTGAAAAAATTTGTTTGGTTTGATTACTTTTAAAAATTTGTTTGTAGAGAATTTTTCTCAAATTTTTTTTTGAAAAACAAACCAAACAAGGCCACTGTATGTTTAGAATGACTTTTTAAATTTTTATGAAAAGATGTATAAAAAATAGGAAAAAATAAAATTTTTAATTTTTTTTGGATATAATTTGTTAGTTTTTTTGACATTTTTATTAATTTTATAATTTTTTAACTAAAATGTGATGTGCAACGAAGCCACCAGCGTCCC